CCAAAGTAGGTTTACTTAGTAAAATTTAGAGAATAGAGTGATTATTTTTAGAGAAAATTTGGTACAAGTGATCGTTGGGACGAGTTAGTGATTTGCATTTATTTTTTTTTTAATATTAAAGATTTATTAAAATATATATATAATTTATATATTATAAGGTGGGTATGGGTATTGTAATGCACTACCAATTATGACGCAGTTGCGATATCTCGTGACCCAGTAATCAGAATTCAACGATTTTGGTATTAATCGATCTGTCTTGGTTAGACGAATCAATTGGTACCAAAATCGCACAATTCCGATCGCTGAATCACGAGATTATCTCTATTCAAATAATTATTATTCTTTTTATAGTGTCTCGAAGAGAATCATGTACTATACATTTATAAAAATTTTTTTTTTCGTTAAACAATTATCATACAACATTTATATTTTTATATATCGGAACTAGATCAAATGTTACGCATTATAAATATACTGTGTAATTTGAATTAGGGCTATCAATATTAAATAAAGTTTAAGGTAAAGCTTTGATCCTAATTTTTAATAATTCAAATCAAATTCGGATTTATTGTAATACATTCGATTAAAATTCAAATAGAGACAATTAAATCAAAAGATCACATTTTTTCTTACTGCAGCTGTGCTGTGCAGTATAAATAATTATAATTACTTGTGGGCATTGTACGATTAATTTGTATAACCACTTGTATTTCGCATATTAATTATTTATTCACAATAACTGTTAGCATAATTTAATTACAAATTAAATTGCGGTGTTTATTAGCGATTAATTTTTTTTTGGGAGTTGCACGATTGAATGTGTAACAAATAAGATCATGCCGGATCATATGTAAATAGTAGCAATATTTACCCTGAATTTAATCCGTGTTTAACTTGCAATTTACTTCATACTTATGACAAAACAATTTATTAAAATTAAAAATTTCAATAAAAAATAAAGTAAAAATTAAAAAATTCATGATGTCTAAAAAAGACAAAGCTACTCAAAATAACGCTATTGAGAAAGCTCTCAAGTTTATAAATGACTCTTCAAATAACCCTAAGACCCCAAGCATAAGGAGTGTTATACGAGACTTTGGTATTCCAGAACCAACCCTTAGACAAGCTATTCGGAATGATGGTTCTCCTAACTGTCCAGGTCCTAACAAAGTTCTAACAAACCACGAAGAAGAGCAACTGGTCAGCTATTGCTTGAATATGCAGAGACTTGGTTTCAATTATCAAGATCTGGTGTAAATTATTGTGTGATAGAGATTGTTCGTAGAGATGGGCGCCTACATCCTTTTAATGAGAATGGTCCAGGTCAAGCATGGTGGCAGCAGTTTCTAAGAGATTATCCTGAACTTTTGTTTCACATCCCGCAAGCTCTAAATGAAGCATGTGCCCAAAAAGCAAATCTTATTATTATTAATGACCATTTTAATAAGCTTAAAAAAATTATTAATGAATATTTACTTACCCCTGATCGGATCTGAAATATGGATGAGACGGGTTTCATTATTGAACCTAAACTTCAAAAAGTAATCACCAAAAAAGGAGCACATCAGGTTCATCGAGTTTCTTATGGTAGCAACTGTGAACACATCTCCGCATGCCCAACTATATCTGCTGCTGGAACATACATACCACCATTACTAGTATACAAGGGCAAACGAATGATTCCGGGTCTTTTGGATGGCATACCTGCAGGCACCATAATAGGGTTTACTGATACTGGTTACATGTGAGAGGACTTATTTAAAAAATATATAGAGCATTTTGTTAATTCTATTCCTCTCGTCCGTCTCGTTTTATTAATTCTTGACAAGCACAAAAGCTACGTCAATTACACTTGCATCAATTTCTGTTATGAAAATAACATCCTTCTTTATGCCCTTCCACCACATATCACCCACATCCTACAACCTGCCGAACTGCCCTTTGCTCAGCTCAAAAAGGCCTATGACAGTGAATGTGACAAATTTTTTACTAATAATAGCCAACTAGTGACCAAATACACATTCGTTAAAATCTTCGGACAGGCCTATATTAAGACATACTCCCCCACAGCAATATGTAATGCTTTTAGAGCAATGGGAATATAGTCATTAAATCTTGATGCCATTAATCCTAGCCATCTGGAGCCCTCAATGACAACGCAAAGATTCAATCTACAAAGTCCTAAACAACCAACTTACCTGCCTATTACACTAACTTCATCCTCCTCATCTAGAATCATTCCAAATCACCTAGGCCCAACCTCTGCAAATGAAGAATTGTAGTCAGAAATAGAAATGCTTAATAAAAAGGTTGAAGACTTAGAATCTGAATTAGATCTCTATAAAATCCTAGTACCAGTCTCTTGCAACTGGTGCTTAAATATCCTTTGCACTGTCATTCAAAGCAGACCGAAGAGCTGGGGGCAGATGAAGAATAGCCCAAAACTCAACAGCCCGAAAACTCAACAGCCAAAAAAAAGATGCAAGACCATGCCTTTTGCTCAGCTTCTCACTAACAATGAATCGTTGTGTTTGTTGAGGGAAGCAGAGGAGGAAGCAGAAAGAACTGCCAATGAAAAAAGACAAAAAAAAGAAATGGCCACCTAACGACGAATAGCACAGAAGACTGAGAAGGTGCAGAAGCAGGAAATTTGCAAGCAGAAGAAAGAGGAAAGAGACCGTATGAAGATGGAACAACAACGTATTAGAAGGCAAAATGAATTGAAAAAAAAAAATGCAAAAAAAAGTGGTACTACCTGATTACATATAGCCTGCATCATTTTTGGTCATTACTTCGACGAT